GGCATTAACCATTTTTGTGTCTACTTTGCTATCTTATTCCAACCTTCTTTCCCCCACTGACTATGCATATCAATTTCTCAGAGTCTCACTCTGTCACCCAGGAGTGGAGTGGTACGATCGTGGCTCCCTGCAACCTCCACCTCCCAGGTTCAAGCAATTCTCCTGCCTCAGCTCCCGAGTAGCTGGGATTACAGGCGCCCACCACCACACGTGGTTAATTTTTGTGTTTTTAGTAGAGATGGGGTTGAGAGATGGGGTTCGAGACCATGTTGGCCAGGCTGGTCTCAAACTCCTGACCTCAGGCGACCTGCTTCAGCCTCCTAAAGTGCTGGGATTACAGGTGTGAGCCACTGCTCCTGGCCTCTCATATCCTCATATGAATGAGCTTTGTCATCTTGCTGGTTCCCTCATTAATCAGTTAATAACATTTGACACATGTTTTTAAAAAAACTAAATTCATTATGTATTTCTTTGTTAAAAAAAAAAAAGTATCCTAAAATTTAGTGGCTTAAAACAACACCCACGATCTCCCAGAGTTTCTATGGGTCAGAACTCTGGAAGTGACTTGGTTGGGTGGTTCTGTCTTGGGATCCCTCCCAGAGAAATATACACTGGATTTGGCAACAAGAAAGTGGCTTTAATAACCCTGGAGAGGCCGGTTTTGATGAAGTGGTGGGGCTGGGACACAGAATATTTGCAGCTTCTGCCAGAGTTCAGATTGGATCCAAAAAATGTAAAGCCAGGGTGGGTCTGGTTAGAAGGACCATGTGACTGAGAAATTACAGGGCATATTTGAAAGACAATCCCAATCAAGTCACATTTTGTGTCTTTATAATGGGTTTCCTCTTTCCCCACTCTGAACATGCTGGGGCTAATTCTGAGTTTTGTCAGTCATGCATTAGAAAAGAAGACAACTGCTAAGGGAGTTTATTCATCTTTGTTCCTCTCACAGCAAGAAGCAAGTTTGTTTAAAATCTTTTAGCCGGGCGCGGTGGCTCAAGCCTGTAATCCCAGCACTTTGGGAGGCCGAGGCGGGTGGATCACGAGGTCAAGAGATCGAGACCATCCTGGTCAACATGGTGAAACCCCGTCTCTACCAAAAATACAAAAAATTAGCTGGGCATGGTGGCGCATGCCTGTAATCCCAGCTACTCAGGAGGCTGAGGCAGGAGAATTGCCTGAACCCAGGAGACGGAGGTTGCGGTGAGCCGAGATCACGCCATTGCACTCCAGCCTGGGTAACAAGAGCGAAACTCCGTCTCAAAAAAAAAAAAAAAAAAAAAAAAAATCTTTTAACAAGGTCCTGCCGTGGTGGCTCACGCCTGTAATCCAGCACTTTGGGAGGCCGAGGCAGGAGTATCACCTGAGGTCAGGAGTTCAAGACCACTTTGGCCAATGTAGTAAAAGCCCATCTCTACAAAAACAGAAAAATTAGCTGGACATTGCGGCAGGCACCTGTAATCCTAGCTACTCAGGAGGCTGACACAGGAGAATTGTGTGAACCAGGGAGGTGGAGGGTGCAGTGAGCTGAGATCGCACCATTGTACTCCAGCCTGGGTGACAGAGTGAGACTCCATCTAAAAAAAATATATATATATTTTAACAAAAGATCTCTTTGGCTCTGCACAAGCCATCACATCAGTAGATTTCTCTTGCTATCTTCCCAGATGGTTCAGAACCTCCTGTCTATTTCTCTGTTATGAATCCCAACTTCCCAACCTCCTTGGATAGGAAAGGTCTGGGAGGTCATTCTGTCTCCATGAACTCTGGGTCTATGGTAAGTGTGTCTAATATGACTGAGGGGCCAGCAGGCTCTTGTTCTAAAGATATCACCTAACCTTTAACCTTAGAAAAAAGCAGTGGCTCACTCCTGTAATCCTAGCACTTTAAGAGTCTGAGGCAGGAGGATCACCTGAGGTCAGGAGTTTGAGACCAGCCTGGCCAACATGGTGAAACCCCATCTCTACTAAAGATACAAAAATTAGCCAGTAATGGTGGTGCATGCCTGTAATCCCAGCGACTCGGGAGACTGAGGCAGGAGAATGGCTTGAACTCGGGAGGCAGAGGTTGCAGTGGGCCGAGACTGTGCCACTGCACTTCAGCCTAGGTGACAGAGCGAGACTCAGTCTCAGAAAAACAGAAAGGAAAAAAGAAAAAGAAAACCAAGGGAAGCATCATCCCCCAGTCACCTCCAGCAGGCAGCTAGTTCACCACAACCCCTCTGTGGGAACCTTTCTAGTGACATCCAGCAAGGCTGTGCCCCAGGCTCTAGTGCAGGCTGTGGCCAACTTGGTTTTACCAAAGGACTCACCAAGCCAGTGCTTCTCAAACTCGACAGAAGCAGATCTGACCCAGCAGGTCAGGGTGAGACCTGGGGCTCTGCATTTCTGGCAAGCACTCCGGGGTTGCTGATGCTGCTTGCTTTGTGAGCAAGGCTCTAGGCAATGTCACCTACATCCGGGTATAACTAGACCACCCCAGCGGGACACAAAAAGAAATCCAGACATTCTAGGATCCAGGCGTTTCCAAGAGTCTTGGCTTTGCTCTTATTCTGATACCTATAGTTGTTTCGTTTTTCAATCCAAAACAGTTTTAAAGGCAAATAAACAAGCAGAGAAAGCATCTTTGGTCTTGACCCAGCTAAGAAAAATGGCGTGCGCCTCTCACTCAGGGGACAATCCAGAGACTCAATTGCGTCCTAAGGGTTTGACCCACGAGACGGCGGCATGCACATTGGGGGGCGCTCTACAGGGCAGGGGCCTGTATTCTGCGGTATCCTTAATCCCTAGAACAGGGTCCATCACGTAGCACTCCTGGCCCGCGGGGTCAGGCCCGCACAGAGGGTCTCAGGAAGCTCCTTCAAGGCCAGCACGGAGGGGTTCTGTTGTCGCCCCCCAGGCTCCGGGAAAACCACGCTGCTGGACGCCATGTCCGGGAGGCTGCGGCGCACGGGGACCTTCCTGGGGGAGGTGTATGTGAACGGCCAGGAGCTGCGCCGGGACCAGTTCCAGGACTGCTTCTCCTACGTCCTGCAGGTGGGCGCGTCTCCCACACTCCCGGCCCCCTGCCCGCCCCCGGGGCTTGGGCGACGCTGACGCCCGCGTCTCCTGCAGAGCGACACCCTGCTGAGCAGCCTCACCGTGCGCGAGACGCTGCGCTACACAGCGCTGCTGGCCATCCGCCGCGGCAGCCCAGGCTTCTTCCAGAAGAAGGTGGGTGCAGCCCTCTGCTTACAGCGGGCAAGCCGAGTGCCTTTGCATCCCCGCTGTCCTCGTCTCTTTGCCTACACTTACCCATTCCTCCCCTGTGCTCGTCACCCCTTCACTCTAGAGCGTGCCCTGCATCCTGCACCGTTCACCCTGCGCTGCCGGAGAGAGCAGCCCCTTGTCACATGTTCCTTTGGAACACTTGAAATGTGACTAGTCCAAAGACTGACACGTGCTCTGAGTGTAAAACACGTATCAGATTTTAGACTCTGAGTCTGAAAAAACAGAATGTGAAAAAGCCCATTAAGAATTTTTAGGTTGGGCAGGGTGGCTCAGGCCTGTAATCCTAGCAATTTGGGAGGCCAAGACGGGAGGATTGCTTGAGTCTAGAAGTTTGAGACCAACCTGGGTAACATAGTGAGACTCAGTCTCTACAAAAAATACAAAAATTAGTCAGGTGTGGTAGCGTGCACTTGCAATCCCAGCTGCTCAGGAGGCTGAGACAGGAGGATCTCTTGAACCCAGTAGGTGGAGGCTGCAGCAAACCATTGCCCTTCAGCCTGAAGGATAGCCTGTATCCCCCAACCAAATAAATAAATATATATATAAATAAATTAAAATTCAAAAAGTATTGATTACAGGTTGAAATAGTATTTTGTCTGTAAATAATATCATGTTAATTTCACTTTTTACTTTTTAAAATATGGCTACTGAAATATTTCACTTCTGTCTGTGGCTTACATTACCATTCTCTGGGACCATGCTGTTCTACAAGTTCCCTGTTTAAATAGATACTTTTGCCACTGATTTTTCTCAGCTGACTTGGAGGCGTCTTGAATGTGCCTCATCCAAACTGGACTGAGTTAATGAAGGAAGAAATGATTGAATTGTCAACTCCTTCTAGGTTCCAATCTCTTTCTTAAATGTATCCAGTTTGGAAGTAGCCACAGGTAAACCCACCTGGAACCATACCTGGAAACTGTTTCATTTCCCTCTAGTCTGAGAAGGCCCACAAGCACCCAGGGAACCAATGACAGTTGGACATGCCTCCTTCAAGTGGCACAGCTCCATGGAAGCAGGAGAACTCCTGATAGTAGAGTTCTCTCCAATTGAGAGTCCTTTCTGAGCAAATCCAGTCCACAGGGTGTGAAATCCTGACAAGCAATTCAGTGGGAAGGAAGTGCTGATGATAACAAAGGAGAGAGCATGGCAGATCTGCTCCTGTCCTTGGAAGAACCTGGAAATAAAGCATGGCCAATGTGAGCAGCCTGTGTCTGGGGGGCTGTTGGCTAAGGCTCAGGCTTCCCAGACCACCTGAGAGAGCACAAACAGTCCTCTCAATCCTGGCCCTGCCATTTGCTAATGGCATGATCTTGGGCAAGTTATAGATCGTTCTGTTTTCTCCTCTATAAAAAATACAATAAGAATGCATTTCTCCTGGGGTCAATGTGAGGAATACATCAGATTATGTGAAAGCACAGAGCATGGAGGGTGGGACTTGATTATCTCAATGGTCCTTACAAGGACTCTGAGTTCTATTTCCAATAGTTTCCAAAATATGGGAGAGCATTCCTGCTGGGGTGTGAAACCTCTGAGACAAATTAAGTAAATGTCTTCTCCGTCCATCCCTTCTAAACCAGGAGGGGCAAGCTTACTCCTTATGATGTTACAGAGATGAGAAGGAGGCTGGGGAATCTACACTGGCTGGTGAGCACAGAAATCTCACTGCGTCAAGCAAAGTTTAATTCTAGGATCTTTCTACCCTGATGGCAAGAAAAGACCTTTCTTTTTTTTCCAGAATATATCATGCTAGTTTACTTATGCATTTTTATCTTCTCATTATTCCTTTGTGCCTATTTCAGATATGTCCATTATTTGGGTGGGTCAAAGCTTCATCTATGCCATCCAGCCCTTCCCCTGACTCCTCTGGAGTTTTGGTCCACAAGTCATCCTCTCTTCTTCTGAAGTCGAGCTTATTGTTTTGTAATGCAATGGTTTTGTTTCCATTTTCATAACACAGCCTTATTAGGGATGTCTGGAAACAAAACTCATTACCACATGAGTATCTTCTGTTTCTGCTTTCCCCGGGCTTTCTGCAGATAGAGGTAATCAGTACAGGAGGACAGAAATAGATTTGTTAACAGGTCTCTGGAGAGGAGATAAGCTGAGGAAGGAAAGACAAGAGACGGAGGAAGAAAGTCAAGCTTCTTGATTAGAAAGTCAGTAAAGCATTTTTTTTAGTTACTGTTTTGGGGGAGTTGAGAATGAGGAGGAAGAAGGGTTTCAGGGAGCTGCAGGGTTTAAGCAGAGCGAAGAGAATTGGAGGAAAGGGAATTTTAAGTGTGGCTGTGTTATAAATTGGGTCCCTCTTAAAGTCCTTAAAGAAACTCAAGTAAAGATTGGAATTATTTTTAATTACTTTTGAAGGCCAGATTATATGTCTCTGATGCAAAACCCCACTGAGATTGCACCACATAGGACCCTGGCACTTACCTGGGTTATATAGTAGAAAACAGGTTTAGTTCAAATCAACTTGGGTTTTTTAAACATATAAAACATATATTATAATAAAGTTTCAAAACCCAAACACTTATAAAAGTAAGTGATATTGTAATCATAACTTTGGGGGATTTTTCTGTATGGGCTGGAGTGACTGAGCCTCCTGCAAATGGGAATTTAAGGACGTATCCGTTGTTTCCTGGTTAATTTTCCTGCAGCAAGTATAGCAGTTTTTGTTCTAGGGAATCTTATTTATTTATTTATTTATTTAGAGACAGAGTCTTGCTCTGTCGCCTAGGCTGGAGTGCAGTGGCACAATCTCAGCTCACTGCAACCTGTCTCCTGGGTTCAAGCAATTTTCCTGCCTCAGCCTCCCAAGCAGCTGGGATACCAGTGCCCGCCACCATACCCAGCTAATTTCTGTATTTTTGGTACAGACAGGGTTTCACCATGTTGGCCAGGCTAGTCTTGAACTCCTGACCTCAAGTGAATCACCCACCTTGACCTCCCAAAGTGCTGGCATTACAGGCGTAAGCCACCACGCCCAGCCCACTTTTATTTTTGAGGAAGGATCTTGCTCTGTTGCCTAGGCTGGAGTGCAGTGGTACCATCATGGCTAACTGGGGTCTCAACCTCCTGGGATCAAGCGATCCTCCTGTCTAAGCATCCCGAGTAGCTGGGACTACAGGCACATGCCAGCACATCCAACTAATTTATTTTCTTTTTTATAGACAGGGTCTCTCTTTTTTGCCCAAACTGGTCTCAAACTCCTGGCCTCAAGCAGTCCTCCTTCCTCGGCCTTCCAAAGTGTTGGGATTACAGGCATGAGCCAGAGCACCCAGCCTCTGCGGATGTTTTAAAAAATTCATATTGTTTATTGATCTGAGATGTATATTATGATTTAAGCCAGATTGGATCATATTACTATAAAGGATGTGCTTTCCCCAGGGTGTGGTGAGTCTGGAACTGGCCCTTGCATTCTTGGGGGTGGGGCAGGTGTTGAAAAAACAGCTGCAGCCACTCCCAGCCTTCCTGTAATTTGTGTCTCTTGCAGGTGGAGGCCGTCATGGCAGAACTGAGTCTGAGCCATGTGGCAGACCAACTGATTGGCAACTACAATTTGGGTGGCATTTCCATCGGTGAGCGGCGCCGGGTCTCCATTGCAGCCCAGCTGCTCCAGGATCCCAGTAAGTGACACCCAGAACTGTTACGAGCCGCTGTCTGGGCATCTTTTGTGTGTCTGCAGACACTTTGGGCCCTTTCTTCACAGTCCTCATTCAGGAAGGGGGTCGCATGCAACTGAAATCACAGGTTTTTCAAACTAGGGGCCCGTTTTTTTTGAAATGCTGTATAGCTCATTTCCCGATGTGATTCCATCATCCAAACAAAACAGCTCTTGGACTAAGAAGCATTGCATTGGTGTTGCAGTGTTCCACCGGAGTCTTCCATGAATACAGAGCCTTGGCTGGCCAATTGTTTCTTCTTACCAGGGCAATACCATTGTGTGGGCTGGGGAAAGCCAGTGAGTTTTGGTATGACCACAGGTGTTCATGAAATGGCAGGAATTAAAATAGGAATTTGAATAATACACTCAAAAGTGTTTATGTTGTGGGGAAGGGAGTGTCAAAACAGAGTAGTCGATCCTCTGCCTGGTTTGGTCATTTTCCCTATCGCCTGGGGAACCCTCGCCACTCATATGCAGCTGGAGAGGGCAGACTGCATCTAGATCCTTTCTTTGCACTGTGGCAGACCAGGGCTGCCTGTTCTTCAGATGGTGGTTTGTCACTAGAAGGCAGGTAGAGATGTTTTTAAGAGCCCTTGTCACTTTTTTTTTTTCTTTTTGAGACGGAGTCTCTTTCTTGTCGCCCAGGCTGGAGTGCAGTGGCACGATCTCGGCTCACTACAACCTCTGCCTCCTGGTTCAAGTGATTCTCCTGCCTTAGCCTCCTGAGTAGCTGGGATTACAGGCACCCGCCACCATGCCCAGCTAACTTTTGTACTTTTAGTAGAGACGAGGTTTCACCATGTTGGCCAGGCTGGTCTTGAACTCCTGACCTCAAGTGATTTGCCATCTGCCTGCCTTGGCCTCTCAAAGTGCTGGGATTACAGGCATGAGCCACCACACCCAGCCCCCTTGTCATTTTTTAGGTAGAAATAAGTTACTTTAAACCCTCTAAAGAACCCAAATCCCTGCCACACTTCAGACCTTGTTTTATTGGTCAGATTTTTTTTTTTTTCCCTGTGCAAAGACCCTGCTGGTGTTGGAAAGTGTTACAGACATGAAATGAGGTTATGTCTTTTTGACTAACCTCCACTCAGTCTTGTTTCAAAACAACTTCATGCCAGCCTGCCAGCCTTTGTTTCCTGGCAGGGTGCCCTGGGCAGAACCTAGTACCCTATGAGAGGCCTGATTTCCTTACTCCCTGTCCCCTGGAGGGTTTGAGCCCCACATGTGCTCCAGAGCTGGGAATTAGACCCTTCCAGGTCAGGTCCTTTCTCCTGAGCTCAGGCTGAAAGCCAGTTTCCATGTTTACTTCCCACTGCATACTGTTTGGATGGGGTGCAAATTCAATAAGGGACAGTTGAGAATTCTGAGTTTGAAGCACAGAGCCTGGGCTCTACAGTGCCTCAGAAGTCTGGCCTGTCTTTGCTGGCAGAGGTCATGCTGTTTGATGAGCCGACCACAGGCCTAGACTGCATGACGGCTAATCAGATTGTCATCCTCCTGGTGGAACTGGCTCGCAGGAACCGAATTGTGGTCCTTACCATTCACCAGCCCCGTTCTGAGCTTTTTCAGGTAAGGGGTTCAACTTGTAAAGGCCGGGTCTATGGTGTGTTGAGCTGGGAATCACAGGGGCAGGGGCGGGATTTGTGCAGTGGCCAGGCATGGTGGCTCACACTTGTAATTCAGCACTTTGGGAGGCAGAGGCAAGAGGATCACTTGAGGCCAGTAGGTTTGAGACCAACCTGGGCAATAAAGTGAGACCCTCCATCTCTTAAAAAAAAAAAAAAGAAAGAAAGAAAAAGAAAAATTGGCCAGGCATGGTGGTACACACCTGTGGTCCCAGCTACTTGGGAAGCTGAGGTGACAGGATCACTTGAGCCCAGTAGGTCAAGCCTGCAGAAAGTCATGATCATGCCACTGCACTCTAGCCTGGGTGACAGAGCAAGACCTTGCCTCAGAAAAAAAAAAAAAAAAAAAAAAAGGATTAGTGCTAGAGCAACTGAAGCCAACAGCACCTAAGACAGGAAGAGCAAAGGATGAAAACTCACTTCTTTCAGCACCTACCATGTTCCACATACTTTCTGTACCTAGCTCATTTCATCTGCACAACACTCCTATGAGGTGTGTTTCAGCATATTCACCTTACAGAGGAAAAGAGTGAAACTTAGCAATGATTCAAAATTGATAGCCAGGCATGGTGGCATGTTCCTGTAAACCCAGCTATTCAAGAGGCTGAGGCAGAAGAATCACTTGAACCCAGGACGTTGCAGTGAGCCGGGATCGTGCCACTGCACTCTAACCTGAGTGACAGAGTGAGATTTCATCTCAAAAAAACAAACAAAAAAAAACAAACAAAAAACAAATTGAGCCAAGATCACACAGCTATTAATAGTAAAAAGCTAGCATTAGGGTTTCACAGCCATATTGGCTTCGAAGGCTGTGTTTTTCCACTAAATCTTACAGATTTCTTTCCAAAAAAAATCTCACTTCCCCCACCCAGTATCCCTTTAGTTAGCTATTATTTGCTTTTTATAGAGTAGAAGCTGAGATTTAAAATGAAAATAAAGAAACAAACTAAGACCCACCCCAGCTCACCTGAAGTCACCCACATGGTGTGGCTGGGACTTAACCCAGGTCCAGTCATGCCTGTCTAACCCAGATATGATGCTGGGCCTCACGATGGAGGCAGCATAACCCACAGTGCTAGCCTAGGCTCACAAGGGTAGCGATGCACTTTGACTGTCTCCAGGAATACTGACGCAGGGCCAAGGCCATTGAAGGACTGACTGCTCGGAAGTGTATTTCCCATAAAGAGATGGTGACTATAAGGAATACTTGACCTTGGCCCTGCATCAGTATTCTTGGAGACATTCAAAGTACATTGCTGCTCTTGTGATCACACACTAACTACATCTGTTGTCTGATCAGCTCTTTGACAAAATTGCCATCCTGAGCTTCGGAGAGCTGGTTTTCTGTGGCACACCAGTGGAAATGCTTGATTTCTTCCATGACTGCGGTTACCCTTGTCCTGAACATTCAAACCCTTTTGACTTCTATAGTAAGTTTTTCTTTCACATTCCCCATTGTGAATGTTTTTAAACTTCTAATCTCAGATTCCTACCTGGATGACACCAGCACTAGTGGGTTTGACCGTTGCTTTTGTTTTTGTGTTTTATGCTCTTCAAGGAATTTACTTGGCCTGGTCAATTAACTTGCCAGAGATGACTATCAGAATGAGGTTGGGGAGCTCTCTCAAACAAACTGGTGCCCTGCTACTACTTTATCAGAGAATCATTATCTGAGTTTCCAAATTCTCCCAGACCATCCCAATGGGATCCTCAAGGCCCAGCTGGGATGCTTTAAAGTATTCTGATTTTATAGGTAGGCATTAACCACAAGTTTTATCTTGATGGGATGAGGTATTATGGCCAGTACTCCTG